AGGTCCAACATCTTTTCCACCCTTCATTTTCTTTAAATCCTCTCTAACTTCAGTTTTACTAATACGCCGATAAAAACAGAAATCTTTATTTTCATTTAGGATGCTAAGGTCACTATAGTCAATCTTATTTTCACAATCTTCATTAAAAAGTTTAGCAAAATATCTCATCCATCTTTGTTGAATATCATCTTCTAAGAAAAGTATTTTTTGATCTTCATCTTTAATACACTTCACTTGAACTAAATCCTTACTACTCCTATCTCTTTGTTTGGCTAACTTATACACATATCTTTCTCCCTCTTTAGTATCTAATCTATTATATAAATCACTAAAAGCTAATGCCTTTGCATCGCATATTGCTTTCTTAGCATCCATCTTTGTATCATATCGCCTTTGCATCAAATAATTAATTATATGTTAAAATTAATTAATTTATTAAATTGTTTATTTAAATTAATTGAATTAATTAAGTATTTGATTATTAATTTTATCCATATACTCTCCAAAGAATATCCGACAATCTCCTAACATCATTTCGACAGCCTTTCGACATCCCCTTCTCACAAAAGGATTTGGAAAGGCACTTGCCCTTTCTAGTCCACTTTATCGGATTAAAATCAATGATTGAGGACTTGGCGTGAGCAGAGAATGACAGAGGGTGGAGCGTCTTTTAGGAGAACGGGGATCGTGTGTGGGGGGCGGGTCTTATTGTTTCAGTCTATTTCAGCCATTAGAGGGTCCTAAGTTTGATCGCTGCAGCTATTGCAGAATCATGGATCTTACCTTTCAACCCGACATGGATGGATAAGATTTCTGATGAAGGAGAAATGAACAAGAAAATGCTGGATCGGAGAAGAAAAGTTCATCTCCAAAAGAACTCCAATAAAGCCAACAAAGAGCAAGTTGATCGCACAGGAAAAAAAAAATCAAATTATTGTATTAGAATCAAAATGGTGTGGAAAAGTTGGTGCATCAAGTGCTATATCTCTTTAGAGTGTTAAACTTTGATAAAGATATATGTATGACGATATTATTGATCACTAACATCCATCAACTTCACATAGTTATGGTAAGTGAGCAGCCTTAGTCATTGATGACTAACAAACAATCCCTCACTGGTGGCAAGAGCGACCTTCATTATGGATGCTCAGTTGGCCTTTCTTATTAATGTCTAGCAACCTTCTTCCCAACTGATGTTTAATAAGCTTTTATTATAGATGCCAGGATGGCTCCCTCATTTATGCCTAGGATAATCCAAACTTTCTCCAATAAAACTCTCTCTCTCTCTCTCTCTCTCTCTCTATTGAAGAGAGTTTTTGAATTTAAATAATTCTAAATCTATGTTTAACCATTGTAATCTTTTGTTAACTCAGATTGACATCTACATCGGATTTCTGTTCGGCCCGCCAACTGATGCCAGACTTTTACCCATCCACCGACTGACACCGCACTTCTGCCCAACCACCGATTGTTACCGGACTTACTCCCGGCCATCGATTATTGGCGGAATTCCCCCCTACAACTGACCCAAGACAACAATCTTTCTGAGAATGATCCCTTCGTCGCTCTTCAAAGCCTTCCGTGGAGAAAGGGATGGCTCCCATCCAAAAGGGAAAAACACCATTTGGCAATTTTCGTCCTAAAAGACCCACCTTTTTAAGTGCAAACCTTTTTCCTTAGCGGGTTCGATCCAGCTCACTCTTGATGCTGAGAAGCACAGGCCGGCACCGCCGCCGGACCCTGCATTGGAATCCATGGGCTTGAACATTATAGGTTTCTGGAAGGACTACATTGCCAAAACGCTGAGAGTTTTGCAACCGTTATTCTGTGGAGTAGTTAGCATTTTTTGACATCTTTAAGGCTTTCATTAATCTTATGGCTTCTCTTGTTGTAGCCATTGCTTCTGCTGCTGACCGAACTCTGCTTCTCTATCACTATATTTTCTTGTCTTAGCTGCTTTTATATTAAGTCCCGAATAACGATCTCATTTGTTAAGTATTAGCCTATTTTTAGTGGGATAAAAAGCTGATAGAGGAAAAGAAACAAAGCACACAGGGAACGGAGATGGTAGTAAAATGAGAAAGAGAA